CCCCCCCTAAATAATGTCAGAAAGCTGCTTGCTGGACTACCCCCTGTGCTTGAATGGTTTTTTTGTTCTTCAATACTTTTGAATAAGGGATTTTATAAAGAAAGTGCGCGCTGACTTTTGGAAACTTTTGGAAGGCTTCAAAACTAAAGAGCTTAGGAAAAGTAAATAAGGAATAGAGGGTGAGTAAAGCAAATCAAAAGGCAAAGAACAGGAATAACGATTTAAAGCCTCAAATCTCTAGACATTATTCTAGGGCCCCCCCTAAATAATGTCAGTAAGCTGCTTGCTGGACTACCCCCTTTGCTTGAATGATTTTTTTTGTTTTCAATACTTTTGAATAAGGGATTTTATAAAGAAAGTGCGCACTGACTTTTGGAAACTTTTGGAAAGCTTCAAAACTAAAGAGCTTAGGAAAAGTTAATAAGGAATAGAGGGTGAGTAAAGCAAATCAAAAGGGAAAAAGTAAACTATAACAATAAAGAATATTCCACTACAACTACCCAAACTCACCCAAAAAAAAGACATTATTCTAGGGGCCTTTATAAATCAGTGCAGGGAAAAAAATACATTATTCTAGGGGGGTTTATAAATCTGAGGGCCACATTAACTGTGACCAACGCACTGACAGAAACTCAGCTCGAGATGGCTAGGGCAGCTAGGGCCTGTAGAGCTCCTGGCCTTACTAGGAACAAGAACCTACTAGGAGCTCCTGGCATCGCTACTGGGAGCAAGGACGCTACTAGGAACAAGTGCATCGCTAGTAGTAACAAGTGCCTTACTAGTAGTAACAAGGACGCTACTAGGGACTGAACAATTTCGATCCCGTGAGTCGGCAAGAGTGAGCGCATGGACCACGTGAGACCCACAACCAACTTGGCGAAAAACCGCCACAACGTTTGGCTCAAGAAAAGGACCGCACACACATCCGTGACGCTACTCCCATGGGTTATGAGCCCAAGGATCTTTTGACGCCATGACATCGTCGACGTTACGGAGAAGAAGATCGAAAACACCAACGGCTGATGAGCAGCTGGACGCCATGCTAGAAGCCGCGAGGGACCAACCTCGGAGAGCCCAGAGCTTGGAACCGAGCAGAACGATGACACCATCCCTGAAGAGAACATCCTATGCAGCGGTTACAAACACGCCGGCGGAGAGAAGACAGGTGGAAGAACAAAGGGCACTGCCTGCGCCAGAAGATCCTCGTGAACTGGGGCCTCGAGGCCCTCCGCAGGTGTTCATGCCGATGGTTCCGCCTTTGCCTACCTTCCCACAGGTGCCTATGGTGGGTGGACTACAACCCGCTCTACCTGCACCAGCCGGTCCTGGACAAGTTGGAGGGCGCGATGGTGGTGGGGGCATGCCTTCTCTACTTCAACCGGTTCAAGAACAAGCTTGGGGGATGCTCGCAGGTTTGGAACCCTACCCTGGAATGTGGGGGACTGGCAGCTCTGCAGACCAATTGCCGGTGGCGCCTCAAGGACGTCGAGAAGAACTACCTGAAGGAGGTACATCGGTGAAGGGACCTGGGGGAGTTGATCCTCGGGAAATTGGTGGTGGTCGTGAACGGGTTCTCGAAGAGACGAAAGGTTCTGTGAAGAGCTCACCACTGAATCCCTGGTCCGCAGAGAAGATGAGGGAACTTCATGATCAAGCTCGTCCAAGCGATCCTCGGGGACAAGGTCAACAACCTCGTGACGGCGGTGATCAAGTCGAACGTCTTCGTGAACGATGTCTGAAGGAGGCCGAAGCGAAATTCCAAGAAGAAGTTCGCAAGTTGGGACAACAGAGCTCGAACTCGTCGTTCCAATCGGCAGTGGAAGCTCCTGGAGGCAAAGTCCAAGGTGATCGAGTTCAACCAGGTGGAGAAGCTGATGGAGATGTGAAGACCACTGCGCCCATAGTCAATGTGGGTCCCCATGGCGTAGGCGTTGGGTCGGTAGCATATCCATGGCCCTATCCTCCTGGACTACCCGGACTACCTCCATGGGGAAATGGTGTGTGTGGCATTTTTGCCAATGGAAATCCATCAAGTGCAAATGGCATGTGGATGCCAGCTGAGGAATCACTGGGCGACAACGCTCGGTCGGTGGAATTGCCAGTGCTGGGCTTGGATGCCACGGCGCTGACGTTTGGTGACTGGTTGACTACCCTGGAGCCCATCGCGTCGGAGATCAGCCAAGGGGCCAATCAATGGTGGCAGTTGACCTTAAAGAATGTGGAGCAGGCCTACGAAGCGTGGTTGGTGGCAGGTCCTCTACAGCGCTTGCGTCTTGGCCCTGCACCTGCAGAAGAGGCGAACAAATGGCCTCGAACAGAAAGAAGGATGCTCAGCCTGTTGCTACAAGCGGTGCCCGACACTGTGAAATCTGAGGTCATCACGGCTCGCAAAATGACAGTTGCTCAGGTGTTGTTCATCCTCTACATAAAATTTCAACCTGGAGGACAAGGTGAACGAATGAACCTCATTAAGAACTTGACCGAGCTCAAGCTGACCCAAAACATGGGCGACGTGGTGCAGGTCCTTCGAACCTGGCGGCGTTGGTGGAATCGCTCGGAGGAGTTGGGGGTGCTTCTTCCGGATCCAGTGGTCCTTGCAGGGGTGTTGGTGAAGGCTTCAGACCATTTGGCGAAGTCTGGAGCTCAGGTGGCCTATCGACTGGCGACGAGCAGGCAGCAGTTGCTGATCGACACCAGGCCTACGTTGGATAACCTCAAGATCTTCGCGGAGTTCCTACAAGCGGAGGCGGAAGAGCTAGCGATGGGATCAGGAACTGGAGTGGGACAAGG